GAAAGGCTATAATAAGGCTGAATGGAAACTCTCTCTCTCTCTCTCTGTCTCTCATACACACACACACACACACACACACACACACACACACACACACCAACACACACACACACCAACACACACACACATGTATATACTGCCTGGAACCTAGCATGAGCTTCTTAAAGGCTAATTCCCTTCCTTGTCGATGTCTTAACAGCTGAGGGTACCGGGTTGTTCAGCTGAGTGAGATGAACAACAAAAATGTCTCAGGGAGAGGTGGGCAGGAGAGTGGGGGCCTGGAAGTAAGGTTGGGAAGAGGAGGTTTCACTTACCTTTGTTGCCCTGCTGGAGGAGAATAATCTAGGACTCTCTGATAGTCCAAACTCATGATGAAATGACTCCTCGATCATCTGTCTATTCATTAGTCTATTCTACTTTAATAGATGCCTTCTATTCAAGTAGAAGGGAGATGGCTATTGAGAGTTTATCCGTAAGAATAATGGCTGGTGTCTATGTAATGTTCTGTAATTGACCAACCGTGTTCATGTTTTTCATCTTTTTTGATCTCCTCCTATAATGAAAGACTGTTTTTTTCATGTTCATTTTACAAATGCGGGCACTAATGCTCAGAAAGCTGGAGCGGGAAAGTAGTTAAAGGTGAAGACTGTGGAGTCAGACTGCCTGAGTGCTCTCACTTGCTTCCATTAATTTCATTAATTTATCTGTATAGGTTAGGTTTGCTGCATTGAAAAACCCGAAAACTTAAGCCATGATGGCACCGCTGCATTTTAACCTTGGCAACAGAGCGAAACCCTGTCTCTTAAAAACAAAACAAAATGAAACAAAACAAAAAACAAAATGTAGTGGCTTGAAATAATAACCATTTTACTGTGCTTTCACTTCGGTGGGTGGGCTGGGCTGTTCTGCTCTGGGCCAGCTCTGCCAATCTCTGTTGGGCCTTCTCATGTGTCTGTGATGGCTTCAGGTAGGTCAGTGACTGGATGACCTGGGATGGTCTCACGCCTGTGTTTGGGTGTTAGCAGGTGGCCTGGTCTCAGGGGCTGTCAGTGGGCCAGCTCATTTCTTGGCTTCCCACCCTGGGCCAGGGGGGCCTGGGTTGCCTCGCATAAAGTTCGTGGGCTGCCAACAGCAGCCAAAAGAGAAAGTCCCAATGTGTAAGCACTTTGCATGCACATTTGCTGATGTCCCTTGATGTCCCTTTGGCCCAAGCAAGTCCCATAGACAGGTGCAGAATGAATGTCAGAGAGGACTGACTCCCCAAGGATGTGGATCCAGGGAGAGGATACAAATCAAGGACCACTGCAGCAACCACTAACCTCACAGTCTTGGCCTCTTTCCCACCTGGCATGGCAACTTAGTAGTAAGGCCTCCCTTGTTGGGTGATGTGAAAATTAAATGGGCCAGGCGCAGTGGCTTACACCTGTAATCCCAGCACTTTGGGAGGCCGAGGTGGGTGGATCACCTGAGGTCAGGAGTTTGCGAGCAGCCTGACCAGCATGGAGAAACCCTGTCTATACTGAAAATGCAAAACTAGCTGGGCATGGTGGCACATACCTGTAATCCTAGCTACTCGGGATGCTGAGGTGGGAGAATCACTTGAACCCAGGAGGTGGAGGTTGCAGTGAGCCGAGATCGCCCATTGCACTCCAGTCTGGGCAACAAGAGCAAAATTCTGTCTCAAAAATAAATAAATAATATTTATTATTTTTTACATCAATACAAACATGATACCAAATGGTGTTGGAAGCAAAATTCATGTACATAATAAAGTTAAAATAGGAGACTGTACTGCTACTTGGTGTTTGTGGAAGATTGCACTGGACGTGTCCCTGCCATGGCCTTCCCAGTGCTGTTGACATGCCCAGGGGCGCAAGGTCACGTCTTCTGAATTAGGAGTTCACTAGTGGACAAGCCCATGGCTGCTACTTTAGGAGAAGTCCAAGATCAGCAGGATCAATTGCTTCTGAGGGCTTCTGTGGACAATCTGTTCCAGGCCTCTCTTCCACCTTCAGGTGGTGGCCAGAAATCCTGGCATTTCCTGGCTAATCGTTGCATCAGTCCAGTCTCTGTCTCCTCATCACATGGCCTTCTCTCATGTCTGTGTCTGTGTCTTCACATGGCCTTCTTATAAGAATGAAAAGTATTGAATTTAAGGGCCATCCTACTCCAGTATGACCTCATCTTAACTTGATTACATCCGCAAAAACCCTATTTCCAAATAAGGCTACATTCACAAGTAACAGGATTTAGAGCCTCAGCATATCTTTTGGAAGGATACCATGCAACTCACTGTAAGAGGTGACACTGAATGGAGACTGGAAGGTTAAGAAGCTGTGGAGCTCTGAAAACAGAGAGTTCCAGACAAACAGAAGAGCAGAAGCCAACATCCTATGATCAGAATGAGCCTGGAGTGTTCAGTGAACTCCACATCCAGGACTCCTGGGGAGGAGAGTGGCAGAAGATGGGCTCAGAGGTCAGAAGAGTTTGCTCACGGGTAGGGATGCTTGGTACAGCATCATGGGCCTAGGATGACCAACCATCCTGGTTTGTCCAGGACTGAGGGGGTTTCTGGGTGGTACTAGGCAAACTGGGGTGAGCTGGTCACCCGATGGCGGACTTTTCACGCAGCCCACCTCCTCATTCACTGCTGCTTTAGCCACTAGTATCTCCCCTTCCGTGTCATCTCACAATGAACAAATAAGAACAATTCGTCACCATTTATTGACAGCTGAATCTAAGCTGCGCACTCTGCAAGGCATTTGACATGTGTTCCGTAGGTGCGTAGCACCATGTGAAGGAGATGCTACTGCCACCCTAGCTTTACAGAAGAGACAGAGAAGTTAGCTCCATGCCTCCGCCACTGACGACACTGCCTCTGTGCTACAGCTCCCTCATTTCCTTACTATGTTTTGTGAGATAATGATTATTATCCCCTTGTGGGGGAAGGAGCATCAGGATAAAGAACAGTTTTTGAAGTGTTATCAAGTGACCACACGAGAGCCCAGTGCCTTACATGCAGTCATTTTATTCTCATTACAGCAGAAATAGTCATCACTGTATTTTGCAAATAAGTGAGCTGAGAGTAAAAGAGATAAAGTGACTTGATCGAGATCCCCCTGTGAGGAAACCAGGGCTGTGGGACTTGAGTCCAGTGTAGCACAGTTTTCCCTCTATTGCCCTGCTTGCGAAGAATAATAGACTAAATTGTTTGGTGGCTAGCCAATTACTCCATGAGGCCATATGCTCCCAATATATGTGTTTTGGATAAAAGTTCAAGCATCATCTGGTCTATGTTGTGACAAATAATTTCCATCTCTTTGCTTCTTAAGCATGTTTGTTTTGAGTGGTAAACCAGAAACAGTATCCTGGGCTGAGAGGCAATGAATGAGATTCCCAGTTTGTAAATTGAGGTGTGCGTTCCCTTCACTAATTTTCGGGAAAGTCCTTCCTGAATGCTAGCAACTGGAGTGAACTCAGCTCAACTTGAAGCACATTGATTGGTGCCTAAACTGTGTTGGGAACTATACTAGAGACGTTGGAAAACCGAGGCAGGAAAGACATTTTTGATGCCCTCACAACCTGGTGAAAAATTAGATGGTAGTAATAGGTGCTAATAATGCTAATTTGTACAGTATTTTACAATGAATAAGTAACTGAGCATATCTCAACTCTCACAGAGATCCTCTGAAGCTAGGCTCAATACTTATCCCCATCTTGTGGAAGCTGAGAGAAGCTCACAACCGCACCCAAGTTCCCACAGCTTGTAAGTTGCAGGGATTTGACCCAAGAGGCCTTGTGACTCCAGATTATGCAGTCTGTGCTCTAAACAAGCAATGAATCTGCCTGGGATAAGTGCAGTGTAGTCATTTATAGGCCTATAAAGTGACTTAAGAATAGCCCTGCTCAGGTATGGGGGAAAGCAAGGTTTGTTTTTTTTAAGTTGACAAGTCCTTATATAATTTTTACTTACAGGCCCACTGTGTGTGCAGTAAGCACTTTGTAAAACATCTTTATAACTGTTAGTTTTTATTCGAAATACCTATCATAAGCCTCTGAACATGTAAATTTATCTCAAACATCATTAGATTATATGTGGATGACCTATTTTTATAAAATGAGTGTAATAGCATCTGCCATAACTGAGTCCCTTAATTTATGACAAGAGGCAATGTTAGCTGGCGGGAAAAGCTCAAGTTCTAAGATCAGAGGCCCACTGGGGCTCTATTGGGCAAAATAATTTTTTTAAGCATCTCTGGACATGACTTGGTGATTTAGGCAAGTTACTCAACTTCTCTGTGCCTCAGTTTACTCATCTTTAGAAGAGAAATAGTAACAGTATATTTAATTCAGAAGACTATTGTTAAAAGTAAATATGTTAATACATATAAATAGATGAGAAGGATTCCTGTTACTTGGTAGCCACTGTGTGTATTGGCTATTATCATTGTGACCACCATCACCACCATCACCATCATTGCCATCACTATCACCATCACCATCACCACCACCACCATCACTGTCACCACCATCACCACCATCACTATCATCACCATTACTACTACCACCACAATCACCATCATCATTGCTACAACCATCATCGCCATCAGCACCACCACCATCACCATCATTACCATCACCATCACCACCACCACTACCATCACTACCATCATCACCATCGCCATCATCATCACTATTGCTACCACCATCAACATTACCATCATTGTCATCACCACCATCACCATCATCACCATCATGACCATCATTACTGCCACCATTATCACTATCATCATCATCGCCACAACCATCATCACAATCATCACCACCACCATCACCATCATCACCATCATGACCATCACTACCACCACTACCATCACTACCTTACCACCACCACCATCACCGTCACCATCACCATCATCACCATCACTACCACCGCCACCATCACTACCATCATCATCACCATCACCATCACTATTGCTACCACCGTCAACATTACCATTATCATCATCACCACCATCATGACCATCATTACTACCACCATTATCACCATCATCATCATTGCTACAACCATCATCACAATCATCACCACCACCATCATCATCATCACCATCACTGCCACCACCACCATCACCATTACTACCATCACCACTACCATCATTATCACCATCATGACCATCACTACCACCACCACCATCACCATTACTACCATCACCACTACCATCATTATCATCACCATCATGGCCATCACTACCACTACCACCACCGTTATCACCATCACCATCATTATCACTGTCAATACCATCACCTCCACCAACACCATCAACTGTGTCCTGTCCTCTGAAATGCACCTCCAGTCATACTTTAGGGATTAAATTATAAAGTGCATGGGAAAGCTTTGGCAATTTGTGCAAAGTGCTGGGGAAGATGCTGTGGCTACAGTGTTATTTAACGTCCAGGGCAAAGCAGAGCCAAGAGAGGCACTGTAACCAGAGTGCGGCTCCGTCAGGAAGACACCTCTCTAACTGCTGCTATGCTTCTTCTACAGGCATCGCCCTCAGTGTGCTCCCCATGTACCTCAGTGAGATCTCACCCAAGGAGATCCGTGGCTCTCTGGGGCAGGTAACCGCCATCTTTATCTGAATTGGCGTGTTCACTGGGAGCTGCTGGGCCTGCCCGAGCTGCTGGGAAAGGTGAGTGTGGCTCCCTGGTCAACCGCATCTGCCCTCATCTCATGTTACCACTGCAGGAAGGAGCCTTTTCTCCAAAAGCTGGTCCCTGTATATTGCAATTCCTGGTGTTCAAGCCTCTTCCTTATTATTGGAGAAAAGTTGTGGAGTTCCTTTAATTTTTTTTAAGGACATAAAGAATACATAACAAATTGAAACCTTATAGAATGTTTAAGTGCACCCACCCAATAATTATCATTAATAGCTCAATTTGTGTTTGTTTAGGCATCTTCTGTGCTTTAAAAACGTATATAAACATATATAGTTTATTGTGGTTTTGATGGAATTATGCCATATGCATTGATCTACAACCTCATGTTTTCATTTAAGATATTTTGGGTATCTTTTCAAGATGTTAACTTAGCTCTACCTCATTCTTGAGTCTCTTTTTTCCTGAATAAATAAGTAATTAGAGTCTTCTGATTTTGGCTTGCTGTTTTGGGAGAAGGTGGGCCTGAATTTGAATCCCAGTTCAATGATCTACTCGCTGTGTGGCCTTGGCAGGGAGAAAAGAAACACTTCACTCAGGTTGAATGGGGTGGGGCAAAATCAAGGAGGGCTTTTCAGAAGAGGTGGCCTCTAAATGGACTCCTGAAGGGTAAGCAGGAGTTAGGCAGGTGATGATGGGGATTGGGAGAGCGGATATACCAGAGAAAGGAAACCAGTAAAGAAAAGGCTCAAGATGGGGCGCAGCCCTGTGAAAGAGCTCAGACAGCTTTGGGGCTGAGGAGAGAACAAGCATGGGAAGGGTGAGAGATGAAGGTCTGTTCACTGAGCCACCACAGAGTTCGCCCTGGGGGAATAGGAAGCCCTGGGCGGCACTGGAGCTGGAGGGTGACATGGCCAGATCAGTGTTAGAAGGTGGCTCTGGGGTGGAGGTGGTGGGTGTAGACTAGAGTGGGAAGGGTAGGGAGGAGAGAGGCAGAGGGCTGCTGCTATTGGTACACATGGTAAGGGAAGGATGCAGCTGCGACTGAGGTGGTGGACATGGGGATAAAGAGGAATGGGTGTGTTCAAGACCATGGTGGAAGCACAGGCCACTGGACTTGCTAGGATCCTTCCCAAGGGATGCTCACAGGGATGCAGGGGCGCTCCCTTCTCACTCACATAGACAGGGCAGGAGGGCGGGCAGAGATTAAACCACTAATGATGGTCGAATGCCCACTGCATGCCAGACTGTTCTAGGTATGAACAGTGCACAAACAGACAAACAGCTCCCTGTGGAGCTGAATTCTGGCAGCAGGGGGCAAACATAACAAATTTGCAAGTCCTAGAGCAGTTATGTAAAAGTCTCGTTTGTTACGCTGCTCAAATCCTAACAGCTACTTTGTGAGTAGCTCAGATTTGCAGCCTTGGACGCAAGCAGAGAGAGGTAAGGGACAGAGCTCTCGTGAACAAGGACGTATTGGTGCTGAAACCAGAACCTGGGTCTGTGTACTTTCAAAGCCACATATGGGGTGTGTCTCATACAGCCAAGGACGGATCACACTGGTGTTTCTGGGAATGTGCGAGCTCTGGAGAGAAGGGGCTAGTTCTGCCCACGGGGTCCTTTCTGTCCCAGCTGCTGAGCCTCACTGACTCTAGGGCCAGCTCCTTTCGCATTCAGTGGAAGGTTTTGTAAGTGGAGGAATCATTGCATTACATTTTTCAAACAAATTTTCAATGTTTTGAACATTTTTTATTGTAGTAAAATCCACATAAAATTTACCATTTTGACCATTCTTAAGTGTACTTTTCTGTGGTATTAAAAGTGACTTTTTATATTTCAGCCAGTCGAGGTCACCTCACAGGCATCTGCTTCTGATCTTTTATTATGACCATTCTGGGTTATTATGGCTGTAACTTTAGTTTCTTCTTTTGCAAAAACAGAAACAACTCACATTTTACATCTGCGGTTGTCGTGTGCGTGACGATTGCTATAATTAATAGCATGTGTTAGAAACAGTCTCTCTACCTAAGTGAGGTTCCAAACTAAAGAGACTCTTTTGCTTTTTGTTTTTCAAGATATTTTAAAATTCTCAAAATAACCACCTCGTGTTGACAATTAAAAACAAGATAACAGTCTCAGCTCCCTAAACAAAAATACATTTAAAAGTTAAGGAAGAGTGCTATTGTCCTTTAGGAGTAAAAAAGCAAACAAATATTTGCCTCAGTAGAGCTAAGCTTTTCTCTTTGGGGATCATTTCCAAATTCCTCTTTGTTTATAAATCAATATCAAGTTCTTTCCGCTGCTTGAGTCCTTAAGGTCTTTCTTCAACCTCTGTCTTCATCCTTTATTTATTCATTCACCACATTTGTTAAACATTGAGTTGATGCTGGAGCTGCAGCTTTGAGCACGTCAGGCACAGCCCACATCTTAATGTTGCTCAGACTGCAAGGACTGTGTGACCTTGGGCAGGTCAACTCACCTCTCTAACCAGTGTCGGCTTCAGTAGGAGGCATGGTTGCAAGTCCCAAATTCCCAAGCCCCACTGAAGCTTGACTTCCTCTGGGAAAACATCACTGGCAAATAGTGACTGTTCAGCATATCCCAGGACACCGTGCACCTGTGCCTCTCCCACACTGATTTCCGTTTCCTTTCGCATCTTGTCCTGCCAGTTGATGGCATCTTACTTGTATGCACGATAACCCAGAGGCGTCAAGTTTATCTAGTCATTCAACAAATGTTTAGAAAGCTCCTCTTGTGTGCCAGGTATTGGGTTGGCTGCTGGTGGTAGAGTGGTGAGGTCATCAGGCTAGCCCTGCCCTTGGGAGCTCACAGGAGGGTGATTGACCAGTGGCCACAGGTGATAGGAAAATAGGCACTGACCTCTGGTAGGGCATCGGGGGTGGTTTCCCTGCAGCAGTGACATCTAAACTCATGGCTTGAGGACGAGTAGGATTTATCTGGGCGGGACTGTAGGAAGAGAGAGGAAATGGGGGTGGGGCATTCCAGCAGAGGTAAGAGTATGGGGGAAGGCCCTGGCATTTGTTCAGAGGCAGAAAAACTCAGATGACAGGAGCGGGGAGAGGGAGAGGGAGAGAGAGAAGGAGGGGGACGGGGAGAGGGAGAGGGAGAGACAGAGGCCACTGGCAAGGCAGATCTGTGGGCAGGAGGGCCACACCTATGCTGTAAATGGGCACAGGGAAGGATGGGCAAGGTGAGGGGTTCCCTGGACCTGTGGCTGCTTGGGGGTCAAGGGCAGCCCCTACTGTTTCCATCATAGACACTGGCCTAGAGATGACAGATTTTCTGAGTTTCAAGAGATATTACAAATCCGGATTTGTCATATTTCATAATTTGTAAATATTGGAAACTGACCTTTAAAAAACAAAAAACCTCCCTCCTGTGGCCTGGGTCCAGCCTTAGGGCCACCTTTCACACACCTTGATGGGGAGTGTGTACCTGTGAAGGCTTATTTGTACCCCCAAAGCAGTGGGACATCATTGAGGACATGACGAGTGCTTCAAGAAGGCTTTTGGGCTGCAGCATGGAGAAAGGATTGGATCCCAGCCAGGACTGAAGGGGTTGACTGGTCCAGTTATGAAATGGGTCAGAGTAATGGCAGTGTGGATGGAGAGAGGCGGATGAGGTTGAGTGAGGCTAGTGGTGATGGGATGTGGTGTCCCAGAGAAGAGTCAAGAATAACTCCCAGGCGTCTGGCACATCAGCCAGTCAGAATGGTGGTACCAGATGCTAAGACAGGGAGCTGTGAAGGAGGAGGAGCAGCTCTGCAGGGGACAGGGTGACAAGTTCACTGACATGAACTGTGCATGTCACGTAGCAACTGGAAGGAAGAGCTGATTCGAGAACCTGGGTACCTAGATTCTGAGGCTGGGACACTCTCTCCCAGGGACAACAGGGCTCATGAACATGATGCCAGCCAAGGGGCACAGCTGCCCACGCCTACCTTCTGGCCTCGAGCCAGCCAAAAATTGTACCATTGGTCCCTATAGGCTGTCTCTTCCCATCAGATGGGAGTTTTCAGACAGTCTTGGCCCTGGCCAGGAAGATGGGTGAGGAACCCTGTAAATATCCTTTTGTTTTCAAATTTATGTTCTGGGAATGTGGATCTAGGGCTTCTGGTCTAGGAAAGAACATCAAATGGGAATTTTTTATTCACGTCTCTGGAAATTTGCAGTGTTCCAGCCAAGTGAAATTCACAGTTATTTCACTAAGCGTCAGAATTTCATTTTCACGATTTTAATCGTATTTCTCATTTACCTTCAAAGATTGAGACAACCAAGCTTTGAAAAAAGAGAGAGAAAAACTGGGCTTCAGTGCAGGCAATTGCTTTGAAACACAGAGGGTGAAGGAGGTTAGCAAGAAGGTAGCTATTTTATTTATTTTATGACTTCAACTTCTATTTTAAATTAAGAGAGTACATGTGCACACTTGTTTCCTGGGTATATTGAGAGATACTGAAGTTTGGGGTATAATTTATCCCATCACACAAGTACTGAACATACTACCCAATAATTTTCCAACTTTTGTCCCCTCTATTCCTCCCCTCCATCTATCCCATTGTCTCCAGTGTCTGGTGTTGCCATCTTTATGTCCATGAGTACCCATTGTTTAATTCCCACTTACAAGTGAGAACATGCAGTGTTTGGTTTTCTGTTCCTGTGTTATTTCACTTAGGATAATGGCCTCCAGCTCCATCCATGTTGCTGCAAACAACATGATTTTGCTTCTTCTCATAGCTGCATAGTATTCTATGATGTATGTGTATCACATTTTCTTTATCAAGTCCACCATCGATGGGCACTTAAGTTGATTTCATGTCTTTGCTGTTGCGAATAGTGGTGCCATGAACATACGAGTGCATCACTCTTTTTAGTAGAATAATTTATTTTCTTTTGGATATATACCCAATAATGGGATTGCTGGGTCAAATGGTAGTTCTGTTGTAAGTTCTTTGAGAAATTTCCATATTGTTTTCCATAGTGACTGAACTAATTTACATTCCCACCAACAGGGCATA